GTACATTTTATGTGATAATATGTCCATTTCATGAGCTAATATGTCCATTTTAGGTGGTAATATGTCAATTTTTGGTGTTAATATGTACATTTTAGGTGATAATATGTACATTTTAGGTGCTAATATGTCCATTTCATGAGCTAATATGTACATTTTAGGTGCTAATATGACAATTTCATGAGATAATATGTCCATTTTAGGTGCTAATTATGTCCATTTTAGGTGGTAATATGTCAATTTTAGGTGTTAATATGTCCCTTTTAGGTGATAATATGTACATTTTAGGTGCTAATATGTCCATTTCATGAGATAATATGTCCATTTTAGGTGCTAATAATGTACATTTTATGTGATAATATGTACATTTTAGGTGCTAATATGTCCATTTCATGAGATAATATGTCCATTTTAGGTGTTAATATGTACATTTTAGGTGGTAATATGTACATTTTAGGTGGTAATATGTCAATTTTAGGTGTTAATATGTACATTTTAGGTGGTAATATGTCAATTTTAGGTGTTAATATGTACATTTTAGGTGATAATATGTACATTTCATGAGCCAATATGTCCATTTTAGGTGTTAATATGTACATTTTAGGTGGTAATATGTCAATTTTAGGTGTTAATATGTACATTTCAGGTGCTAATATGTCAATTTTAGGTGCTGATATGTACATTTCAGGTGCTAATATGTCCATTTTAGGTGGTAATATGTTCATTTTAGGTGGTAATATGTCAATTTTAGGTGTTAATATGTCCCTTTAGGTGATAATATGTACATTTTAGGTGCTAATATGTCCATTTCATTAGATAATATGTCCATTTTAGGTGCTAATATGTACATTTTATGTGATAATATGTCCATTTCATGAGCTAATATGTCCATTTTAGGTGGTAATATGTCAATTTTTGGTGTTAATATGTCCATTTTAGGTGATAATATGTACATTTTAGGTGCTAATATGTCCATTTCATGAGCTAATATGTACATTTTAGGTGCTAATATGACAATTTCATGAGATAATATGTCCATTTTAGGTGCTAATTATGTCCATTTTAGGTGGTAATATGTCAATTTTAGGTGTTAATATGTCCCTTTTAGGTGATAATATGTACATTTTAGGTGCTAATATGTCCATTTCATGAGATAATATGTCCATTTTAGGTGCTAATAATGTACATTTTATGTGATAATATGTACATTTTAGGTGCTAATATGTCCATTTCATGAGATAATATGTCCATTTTAGGTGTTAATATGTACATTTTAGGTGGTAATATGTACATTTTAGGTGGTAATATGTCAATTTTAGGTGTTAATATGTACATTTTAGGTGGTAATATGTCAATTTTAGGTGTTAATATGTACATTTTAGGTGATAATATGTACATTTCATGAGCCAATATGTCCATTTTAGGTGTTAATATGTACATTTTAGGTGGTAATATGTCAATTTTAGGTGTTAATATGTACATTTTAGGTGGTAATATGTCAATTTTAGGTGTTAATATGTACATTTTAGGTGATAATATGTCCATTTTAGGTGGTAATATGTACATTTTAGGTGGTAATATGTCAATTTTAGGTGTTAATATGTCCCTTTTAGGTGATAATATGTCCATTTCATTAGATAATATGTCCATTTTAGGTGCTAATATGTCCATTTTATGTGATAATATGTACATTTTAGGTGCTAATATGTCCATTTCATGAGATAATACGTCCATTTTAGGTGGTAATATGTACATTTTAGGTGGTAATATGTCAATTTTAGGTGTTAATATGTACATTTCAGGTGCAAATATGTACATTTTAGGTGCTAATATGTACCACTAAGGTACCAATATGTAGCCTTTGGATACAAAAGTGTACCTTTTGAAAAGGTACAGCCCCAGTGACAGCTTTTGTACCTTTTTTTCTGAGAGTGTATAATGTAGGTTTTGTGTATGTTTCATTTGAAACAAGATTTTCTTTAGATATCGGGATTGTTATCGGTCACTGAAAAGGAAATATATCCATAGCAATGAAAAATACAAACCAGTATCACCATTGAGACTGTACAGAAAGCGAATGGAAAGTTTTCCTCCTGAGAAAAATACTCTAGTCTCGCATTGTTTCTTTTAAAGTTGACACTTAAATGCAACGATTGAGAACTCCAAGTTTCCCTATGGATACATCTCTTTGTTTAATGTCCGTGCTTTATTTAACTAGACTTTCTGGACAAATGTGTCTCCAGAAGTTATATAAATTTGCCAAACCTCCATGGACATCTTCAGTTGATAAAGCAATTCAGAAAACAAACAAAATGTGCTATTCTAGAAATGCAGAAAGTGTCAGGGTTTGGATTATTCAGTAGCATTTAAAGGTCCCCTGACATGGGGTTATTTTATCATTTTATAATGTTTCCTGGGTTGCCCTTATAATGTTAGTATGTTTTTTTTAGATCAATAGCCATAATTTAGTAATAAAGGGCATTTTTCGCCTGGTTTTAGCCTGAACGCTCTGTTTGAAGGGGCGTGTCTGCTGTGGGATTCAGTGGAACCGCCCACTGCTGTGATTGGCTGACATGCTTGCATATGAAATAGCTACATATTACATGTGAAACTCTCTCGAATACTTTTACTACTATACAGCTATTTTATGTTTTTACTTTTACAGCTATCGAGATTAACGAATCGTGAGAATTTTTAAAGTATTTAGATCTATTCCCATTACATAAAATGTTGCTGTGATGTGAGCAAGCAGATGACAGTCTGTCGATCGTGAGAATGAAGATCTTATCATCGCAATGCAGTTTCTGCACTCTCTCTAATGCTTTCACCAATGCAAACACGATGATGTAAATACAGTAAGATCTTTGTTGTGAAGTGTAACGTGCGTCATTGATTTCATAAAAGATTGTGTGGAAAGATTGTTCCTTTATCACTTTCTGTATAATTTGTTCAGAATTTAAATAAGATTATTTTCATCCTACTAAAAAAAAAACGAAGTTAATATTTTAGTCACTGGCTTGACTTATGCATAAACAGAATTGAACGATTTTGAGAGAAAGATGACCTGTCTGAACTTGGACAATTAGGTCACACATCTGAAATTGTTGCTTGGTAGCTCGATCGATTTATTTTCAGGCGTTCATCGAGTTGAGGAAACAGTCGTCGGTGAAATGTTTGGACCATACAAAACTTTAGGAAGTTGTGTCGGCGCATTTCTGGAGAAAATAAAATTAACTGAAGGAACTAAAAAATACGTTTGTGTTCAATTTGTTCATCCGGACACTGATCAACTGCTATGCTTCGCTCGTTTGCAGGCCATGATATCTATCGAGGAAACACTCAAATCTCAAAGCTATTTCTCTTGGAAAAACTCAAATCGCACTCACGCATTCGTCCTTCCAGCTCATTTTCTCATGGGCGAGCCAAATTCTCTGTGCGGGCAAAGCAGAGAAAGGGGAGGTAACCTTTCCTCATTATGATGAAATAACGAGGAGATTCAAGCTCTGTTGAAAATTCTAGACACGAGGGCACCAAATAAAGGCCAGGGAAACTAATGTTAAAAAACCTCAAAAAGGGAAAATTTCATGTCAGTGGACCTTTAATATAAAATATTTATATTAATGAAATATATATACAGTGTATATATATATTATAAGTATTTGAACGATAGTGGTATGCCCTCATTAAGTCAATGTGTGTGAGAGAGATCCTCTGGCTGTCTTGTTTAGTCTGCTCTCGTAGAGAAAGCTGGGTGGGAGTTTTTTGCTTTAGGCCAGTGCATCTGCAGTCTTCATGGCTGTCAGTGCCGGCAGTGAGATATCAATAGACAGCATGAATGAGGTTACATTTAACTTAGAGTTTCTGTTCTCTGTAGGGTAATGCTTATAACACTGAGACTAATGCAGCAAAGTGCAACATTTGTGTGTAGATTAGCCACCTCTTCAATTGTGAACAGTGGGAGTTGTGTTTACTGCAAATGTGTGTTTGTATAAATTCCTGTCCAATGTCCAAGACGGGGGTGAGGGAACAAGGGATACTTCCCAACCCAACATTCATCTCCATTTCACACTCTCTTGTCTTCAGACTCAAGGCCTTTACATTTTGTTCTGTATTTTCTGTGGGAACAAATATAAAGAAAGTAAATAGGGTCAGTTTAGGTCAGATTTCATGTTGCATCTTTCTCAGTTGACACACACTTTAAAAAGGCTGTGTGAAAAATCTCAACATATAAATCACAAATTTCTTCATGTTCTACCAGGGCCTGGTTGAAGGTCTTGTAAAACTGTCTACTGCTCTTCACATCACATCTCATTCATGTTTGCTGTAAATTAACCTTAAAGGAGTAGTTAATCCAAGATGTCCATGTCTTTCTTTCTTCAGTCGAAAAGAAATTAAGGTTTTTGATGAAAACATTCCAGGATTTTCTCCATATAATGGACTTCATTGGGAACCAAACGGTTCAAGGTCCAAATGAGAGTTTCAGTGCAGCTTCAAATGGCTTTAAACGACACCAGACGATGAATAAGGGTCTTATCTAGCGAAACGATCGCTCATTTAAAAAATAAATAAAAAAGTTTTAATTTTATAAGCACAAATGCTCGCCTTGCTCTGTTCTGTGATGAGCGTTCGTGGCTCTCCGGTTCAAACTCGTTCATCAAAATAAACAAATCTTTTTTCGAGTCATGAGTCGAAGGGTCCTAGATAAGACCCTTATTCATCGTCTGGTGTCGTTTAAAGCCCTTTGAAGCTGCACTGAAACTCTCATTTGGACCTTGAACAGTTTGGTTCCCATTGAAGTCCATTATATGGAGAAAATCCTGGAATGTTTTCGTCAAAAATCTTAATTTCTTTTCAACTGAAGAAAGAAAGACATGGACATATTGGACGACATGGGGGTGAGTAAATTATCAGCAAAAGTTTTTTTTAAAAGTGAACTACTCCTTTAATTGCTAACCATGTTAATATTTCAACACATTTATACATACTTTGTCTCTCCCTTTCAGATGTCTAACTACAAGCGTGCAACGTTTGAGGAGGAGGACGGGACCGACATCCCTGCCGATGGAGCCATCTCTCCTGACAGTGTGGAGGTGAGTTTGGGTCAGGGCTCAGTGTGGATGTGTGCATTTTATGTTTTTTTCTTTCAGACTTTTTTTTTAAATCCAATGCCACATGCAAATAAATAAAGCAACCATTTAAGCTGTTCGTTTTTACAGAAACTATGAGAAATATTACTGTTGCACAATTCCCATGAAAAGTAGAAGATCAGAAATGACGCTAAAACGCGGCAAAAGAGAGAATAGTGAATCGCTGGGTAGTCGTGATGTTCTCTGTGAAGTTCAGCTCTTTCCTGGATGACTTGGATGCTTTTACCGTTGAACAATCATGCTGACAGTCATGCTGTGGTGAACTGCTGGGCTAGCGGTAAAGAAACACGGTAATGAGTTGGTGGTGAAGTTCTTTCTTCTAGGCTGAGTTATCCAGGCAAGATGAAATACATACAGACACTGTAGGAGCACCAGATGCATAAAACATAGGAAAATACACTTCTTACAAACCGCTGCAAAACAAACTGAAACCAAATAAACTTTTAGTAACCGTTCTTTTAAGAACCTTTTTTTTCCCCATAATTTGTCAACATAAAAAAATAAAAAACCTATACATATTGTTTGTGAACGGAAGAGGATTAGGGCCAAGCAATAATAAAAAAAAATAAAACCATCTCGAGATTAAAGTCATTATAATGCGAGATTAAACTCATTAAATTTCGAGAAAAAAGTCGAAATACAATCTTGAGAATAAACTAATTAAGTATCGAGAAAAAAGTCGTTGTGTTTCGAGAAAAAACTCGTTAAATTTTGAGAAAAAAAGTTGTAATACAATCTTGAGAATAAACTAATTAAATATCGAGAATAAAGTCGTTGTGTTTCGAGAAAAAACTCGTTAAATTTTGAGAAAAAAAGTTGTAATACAATCTTGAGAATAAACTAATTAAATATCGAGAATAAAGTCGTTGTGTTTCGAGAAAAAACTCGTTAAATTTTGAGAAAAAAAGTTGTAATACGATCTTGAGAATAAACTAATTAAATATCGAGAATAAAGTCATTGTGTTTCGAGAAAAAAACTCGTAAAATTTTGAGAAAAAAGTTGAAATACAATCTTGAGAATAAACTAATTAAATATCGAGAATAAAGTCGTTGTGTTTCGAGAAAAAAAACTCAAAAAATTTTCAGAAAAAAGTTGAAATACAATCTTGAGAATAAACTAATTTAATATTGAGATTAAAGTCGTTGTGTTTCGAGAAAAAAACTCGTAAAATTTCGAGAAAAAGTTTAAATACAATCTTGAGAATAAACTAATTAAATATCGAGAATAAAGTGTTTTTGTTTCGAGAAAAAACTCGTTAAATTTTGAGAAAAAAGTTGTAATACAATCTTGAGAATAAACTAATTAAATATCGAGAATAAAGTCATTGTGTTTCGAGAAAAAACTCGTTAAATTTTGAGGAAAAAAGTTTTAATACAATCTTGAGAAAAAAGTTGTAATACAATCTTGAGAATAAACTAATTAAATATCGAGAATAAAGTCGTTGTGTTTCGAGAAAAAAAACTCAAAAAATTTTCAGAAAAAAGTTGAAATACAATCTTGAGAATAAACTAATTTAATATTGAGAATAAAGTCGTTGTGTTTCGAGAAAAAAACTCGTAAAATTTCGAGAAAAAGTTTAAATACAATCTTGAGAATAAACTAATTAAATATCGAGAATAAAGTGTTTGTGTTTCGAGAAAAAACTCGTTAAATTTTGAGAAAAAAAGTTGTAATACAATCTTGAGAATAAACTAATTAAATATCGAGAATAAAGTCATTGTGTTTCGAGAAAAAAACTCGTAAAATTTTGAGAAAAAAGTTGAAATACAATCTTGAGAATAAACTAATTAAATATCGAGAATAAAGTCGTTGTGTTTCGAGAAAAAACTCGTTAAATTTTGAGAAAAAAGTTGTAATACAATCTTGAGAATAAACTAATTAAATATCGAGAATAAAGTCGTTGTGTTTCGAGAAAAAAAACTCAAAAAATTTTCAGAAAAAAGTTGAAATGCAATGTTGAGAATAAACTAATTAAATATTGAGAATAAAGTGTTTTTGTTTCGAGAAAAAACTCGTTAAATTTTGAGAAAAAAAGTTGTAATACAATCTTGAGAATAAACTAATTAAATATCGAGAATAAAGTCGTTGTGTTTCGAGAAAAAAAATCGTTAAATTTTGAGAAAAAAGTTGTAATACAATCTTGAGAATAAACTCATTAAATATCGAGAATAAAGTCGTTGTGTTTCGGGAATAAAACTTGTAAAATTTCTAGAAAAAAGTTTGAATAAAATCTTGAGAATAAACTAATTAAATATCGAGAATAAAGTCATTGTGTTTCGAGAAAAAACTAATTAAATTTCGAGAAAAAAGTCGAAATACAATCTTGAGAATAAACTCATTAAATATCGAAAATAAAGTCATTTTTTGAGAAAAAAACTCAAAAGTTGAAATACAAATGAGATTTTTCTCGAATAAAATCTATATTCTCGAAACTAAACAAGATTTTTCTTGAAACACAACAACTTTATTCTCGATATTTAATGAGTCTATTCTCAAGTCTATTCTCGACTTTTCTTCGAAATTTAACGAGTTTAATCTTGCATTGTAATGACTTCAATCTCGATATTTAATGAGTTTATTCTCAAGATTGTATTTCGACTTTTCTCGAAATTTAACGAGTTTAGTCTTGCATTGTAAAGACTTTAATCTCGATATTTAATGAGTTTATTCCCAAAATTGTATTTCAACTTTTCTCGAAATTTAACGAGTTTAATCTTGCATTATAATGACTTTAATCTCGAGATGGTTTTCTTTTTTTATTATTATTGCTTGGCCCTAATCCTCTTCCATATTTGTCTTCCATACACTTCCATGGATGTTAAATGTTCTTCACTAAACCATCAATGCCAATAAATAACTTTTATTTTTAAGTGTGTAGATCTCATGTATTGTGAATATTTTGAGAACAGGAAGGGGCCAAGCACCGAACCTTGAGGTACTTCAGTAGTTAGCTGATATTGCTTAGATACTGCTTCCCTAAAAGTCACCATGCAGAATCTACCCATGCACAGTGTGTAAAGGGTATATCATTTACTGTGTCCAGCATGTCCTGATGATCAACAGTATTTCATTATGTTAAGATTAGCCAATTATATTGAAATCATTAATATAAGAAGTCATAAACATAAAGTAAACAGTTCAGTAGTCTGGACATATATGGCTTGGTGATTATTATGACTAATGACTGGGCAAACATCTTGTTGATAAGAATATTCTTCTTCTTTTTTTTATTATAATTTTTTTTATAGAAAGGCAAAATAAACCTGAACAATTATCCAAGTATGAATAATGTTCTGAAAACCCATAAAACCTTTTAAACTGATCAAATGGTGGACTAAAATTGGAAAGAGATCATAGATATCAGTTTAATGAAAATAAGCATCATTTCTCATGCAGACATTTGCATTAGCGATAACTTTTAAGTGATGGAAACAGCAGGTCAGATATCCAGGGAATTTACTTCAATGAATTATGAGTGACATTTGATATGAATTCGGAGCGATTTATGTGGCTCCTTTCATTTGCTGCTCACTTTTAAGTCAAGCAGGAAATGTGATACCTCTTCTGTTCAAGCAATGATATGAAGCATGCATTTGATATGGTATCCCCCAGGCAACTTGTTTTATGTTCTGTGGGTGATGAATGATGAATGATGAAGAGATGTGCAGTATTTCTTAAAAAAAAAAATCCATATGTGATGTTCCTAGAGTTTCTACAGAAAAAGGAGTCTTCTTCTTTGGGAATATTTCTATGAGAATATTTTTTATTATAAGGCAAAGAAAGGAAGAATGAGATTAGTATTTGTCAGCGGCCATTAGTGAGTGTTTTAAACTGCTATGACACAATTAGTATTTTTTTCATTGAACATTTTTATTCTCACAGAAATGTACTGTGGTTTTGAAGTGGCTGGTAATGCTGCCTTCACTATAATGGCACTTAATGACTAGCATGTTCAGAAACCATGGTATTTACATAACATAAAACGCCACAGAGAATTGTACTAACGGAGTAATCCATATCCAAAAAGCATAGTTTCACAAAAACTTTATCAAAAAAATTTTTTTTTGCGAGTTTGTAATGTTAACCAGCAAATAGTAACAATTAAAAAAACAATCGAACTTAAAAAGACTTATCTGACCCTCTTTTAGGTGGGTTTCCGTAAGGGTGGTGTTCAGTTCTTTGGTCCACTGGGCAGGAGGACTCAGCTGGAGGTGGTTTTGGCTGGTCTGCTTCTCACTTCACTTCTAGTACTATTTGGCTGTGCGATCACACTGGGAGTCCGCTATAACGGAGGTAATCCAATGAATCCAATGGTTAAAATCAATGCCCTCCTTGTATAACTTTTAACATTCAGTTTTATGTCACGTAATGGGAGTTTTTATTTCTTGTTGTTTCTAACTCCCAGATCCAGCCCGTAGTATCTGTCTAACAGAGGCGTGTGTAACCGTGGCCAGTAAGATAGTGGAAGCTCTGGACCGCTCCGTCGACCCATGTCAGGATTTTTACCAGTACGCCTGTGGAGGATGGGTCCGCAAAAACCCCCTGCCAGATGGCCGCTCCCGCTGGAACACATTTAACAGCATCTGGGACCAGAACCAGGCTGTGCTCAAACACCTGCTGGGTAAGTGCTGGAAAACACACACACACACACGTGCTGGTTCTATTTGTATAACTAGTGCAAAATGCCCGTATTTAGCGATATCTTTTGCATTTCTAATCCAAACAACGTCAAACTTGGCACTGCACTTACTCATGCCCGTAGCAAGACACTTGTCAAGTTTGAGATCCATTGGACTAACGGTAAAAGAGATATGCGGTTAACAGACAGACACACACAGACAGACAGTCGTTCCTGTAATTTATAGATACTGTAGATGGGATTTGCTCAGAACATCTTTGTCAGTGTTCACAAAGTGTAATATACTGTATTTAGAAAGACATCTTAATGATTTCCTTGATTTTCCAATAGAAAACAGCTCCATTCATGCGTTTTGAAGAGCTTTACCTCAGTTCTCTGTGCTTGGGTTGTTTTTTTTATTGTAAAAACTTTCATTGATTCCTGCTCTGTGACCTGATTTCTTGTTTTCTCTGAGAGCAGACATCACTGTCTGATTGTTCGATTAGGGACAATGACTTTCTGCACTAGTTCTCTGTTTCTGTAACTTTAAATCCCTCCATTATTCATCCTCACATGGATTTACAGTATATTGCTTGCAAGGCCTTTTATTGGTTATAGTTTTTTCAAGAAATTTACAGTTTTAAAACATCTATTGAAACTGGCAGTGATGATGATGCCATTGTCTTGTACTTGTAGACTAGATAAAATGCAATGCTTGTGTTCTGAATGTTTCCCAGGGTGTTACTAGGTGGTTGCTAGAATGTTCTGAGGGCTTGTTGGGATGTTGCTAGGTTGTTACCACGGTATTATGGTGCGTTCACACGAATGCGAATAGCGCGTCAGGCGCGAGTGATTTCAATATTAAGTCAATGTAAAGGCGCGTTATGCGCGTAAAAAATTCCTGCATGAGGCATAGAGCGCGGCACGGTAGACGCGAATACGCCTCGTTCGCGCGTCAAGTTTGCACGAATTGAGCGTCTGGCGTATTAAGCGTGAATAATTTAGTTAGTGCTATTTGTGCATTTACACGTTTGCCGCGCGAGTTGAAAAATCTGAACTTTGGCGTCAATTCGCGCCACGTTAACCCATCAGGAGCCTAGCTGCTTGCTCAAGTGGTGAAGTATCTGGATGCCTCCATAAATTATTTTGTAATATGACTAAATACCTGGCGTGGTTATAATGCATAACAAAGCAAATATTTTATCACTTAAAACATGTTCATTTTGTATTAAATGTTATTTATTCCATATCTAGATTATATGAAATATTATTATAATGTAAAGACAACCAACAACATGCATGTGCATAAGTTTTTGTGAGAAAAGATCACAGGACAGGTTAATAACTTTTGGAGGCTGGCTCTATTTATCATCAAAACAAAAATAAATGACAGGTGGATGAGGGCGAGGGTGTCCTCGCTCCGATGCGGGACAACAGGTCATCAAACTGGCCGCGTGACAGGAGCTTCTGGAGTGAGCAAATGGTAAAACTCGTCAAACGGTTCGCCTCCGAAGGGTCCGGTGGACATAAATACGGCGACGATGAACCCCACGTCGGTGTTCTAGCTCTCCAGAGCAAATACAGAGCGGTGACTCTCTCGATGAATGCCCGATAAACATAAAAAATATGGCCGGTTTCGATTCTGACGCGTGTGACACGTGTGAATTTCGCTTCAAACTTTTGTTTTTACACGCGTCAATTTTGCTCTTGGCGCGCGAATGGGTTCAAAGTGATCAAGCGTATGACTAGACCTGGTAGGCGCGAATTTGACGCTCTATTCGCGCCTGGTGTGAACACACTGTTACTCTGTGGTTGTTAGGTTGTTCTGTAATTGTTGTAATTGGTCATTTGCTTGGGTGTTCTGGGTGATTTCCCTAGCTCTCGTTGATTGGCAGGGTGTTGCTAAGGGGTTGCTATGCTTTTCCTGATAGTTGCCAGGGCATTGCTAAAAGGTTGTTAGGGTAGGTTGCTAGGTCATTTGGTGTTTGGAGGGTGGTTGCCAAGGTACTGCTAGGTGTTTACTTCACAGTTCATGATGATTGCCAGGGCATTTCTAAATGGTTGCTGGAATGTTCTCAGTTTGGTACTGCAAGTGATTTGCTGGCTTGTTCTGGGTGGTTGCTATGGCGTTTCAAGATGGTTGCTAGGCTATTGTCAGGTGGCTTGCTCTGGTGTTCATGGTGGTTGCTAGGTGGTTATTTAAAAGATCAAAAGAGTCTACCCACTGAAGTCGTTCCTTTGATGGAAGTCTGAGGGAATTATTTCACCCGTTTATTGTCCACCAGGCAAAAAAAAAAAAAAAACAAAAACAAAGGTCTGATCTCTTAAGGTTGGCCCACACTAAAAGATTAAAAAGTCTTATCAGTCTTATCAGATTTGCTAAACGTGAGAGACCACAAACATGACGATAAAAATAATGAAACATAAAAATAATAGATTTAACAGTTTTGTTCCTATAGTGTGTAGAGTGCCGCGATGTGACCAGGAAACCACAACACACACTTACAGATTCCATTCACAAAATCTCTTGCTGTAAAGAAATGGTGATAATAATCTTTGGACTGCCTTTTACAGGAAGATTTTTAATAAAGGTTTTAAATAAAGGTGTTATGCTTCTATCTTAAGCCAGCTCACTTTCGGATTTGCTATTGTTTCATTCCACGTGATAATCTACAGAGAGAGTGTGCATTTTTCCGCAGGTTCCCTCCACACGACAGGATTTCTGATCATGTTGAATATTTATGATTTGAGATTGGAGCGTCCCCGGCATTCTTCCAAGCAGATTCAATCACCCTTTACACACCTCACACCACAGTTAAATCTGATAGAACCATCATGATAATCGGCACTTCTCCATGGATTGTCGGAAGGGGAGAATTGGGTCCAAAAATCGGCTTGATTATCTTGTAGTGATTGGGGGCCTTTAGAATAGTAAGAGCGCCTCTCCTCAAGCCATGTGACTTTATGTAACGGAGGCCAGCTAGTAGTTGCTGTGCAAGTAAACCTCACTCCTCTGATCTCAATAGGCGCTCTAGCGACAGACTCAAGAGGCTGCAGCCTTTAGCCTTCTTGTTAGAGCGCCTGACTCTCATGCCAGAGACCCGGATTTGAGGCCCACTCGGAGCGGGTGGAGGGGTTACATTGGTGCCGTGACCCGGATGGGAGTGAGGTTTAGGGGGGTGAGTGTAACGGAGGCCAGCTAGTAGTTGCTGTGCAAGTAAACCTCACTACTCTGGTCTCAATAGGCACTCTAGCGACAGACGCTAGAGGCTGCAGTCTTTAGCCTCCTTGTTAGAGCGCCTGACTCTCATGCCGGAGACCCGGGTTTGAGGCCCACGAGCGGGTCGAGTGGGACCCAGGTGGAGGGGTTACATTTACATAAGCTAAGCATTTGTTACATAGTGTATTGTACAAACCTAATTCTAACTCTAAGTATGATCAATAGTAGAATTCATGTTTTTCTTAGCAAACAACGCTAATTTGGAAAATCAAGCATATTTTGGAAGTCTCATCAATCTCTCTCTCCCTCTATTTCCCACTATGCATATCTGAATGCAACTTTTCATTTTTCAGCAAACTGTTTATTGAACTCTCGGGTTTACTTATTCGCTGCCTTGCGAGCTCTAGAGTTCTGCACAGGAATGCTAATGTAATTTCTTTTATGTTTAAACGCATTGCTCCATCCGTCTCTCTAATTGTTGGTCTATCCGACTATTTAATAACCTGTTGTAATGCACTGGCTGTGATCAAGCTCTCTCTCTCTGTCTAATGAATGCGCTCTCACACTGGGGTCCCTATAGCCGTTTTGCTCTGGTGACACTCCATCACATTGACACTGCGTGTTGCATCACACCCACAGGCACCCTCTCACCTTTCTGCACATTTAATAACACTCGCCTTACATGAACATATTTTTGATCTCAAATTACTCTTAGATATGTTACACATCTTTTGTGGTTCTTTGTGGTGTAATTGGGCCAGTGAACACCTCCGCATGCTGAAGTGAACACAGCGCTCCAGTGAACAGTAAATGAAGAGTATTCTCTAATGACCTGCGTCAGAGAACTGGTGCAGCCCCCTGCAGAGAGAGAGAGAGGGGGGGGGGGGGGGGGGGGGGTAGGAAAACAGAAACGAAGAAAAGGTTGAGAAGAAGGAGTGGTGGGATAAACTCACACTGGATTGTATTATGGCCCCACTATGAGTATGGGCAACAGTACATGACATAACACCACAGGCCTTCTGTATTGCAAAAAAATGATAAATGATCCTGTCAGGATGTTGCTAATGGGTTTCTAGGGTGTTCAAGGTCGTTACCAGGGTGTTGTCAGGGTGATTGTTGCTAGGTGTTTGCTATGGGTTTATGGATGGTTGCCAGGAAATTGATAGGTGGTTGCTGTTGTGTTTGATGGAATGTTCTGATTAGTTCCTGGGTTATTGCTAGGTGGTTACTAGGATGTTCTTCTGTAGGTGGTTGCTAGGGTGTTGCCATTGTATTCTGGGTTGTTTGCTGAGTGTATGGTAGGGTATTCTGGTTGGAAGCGGGTTGTTGTTGGGTGGTTACTAGGGTGTTTTAGGTGGTTGCCAATGTGTTGGTAAGTAGTTGCTTGGGTCTTCTGGGTTGTTGCCACAGCATTACTAGGTGGTCACTTGGGTGTTCAAGGTTGGTTACCAGAGCATTGCTAGGTGGTTACCAGGATGTTCTGTGTGGTGTTCGAGGTTTGCTAGGGTTGAATGGATAGTTTCTAGAGCATTGCTTGGTGGTTTGCTAATGTCAAGTGAGTCAAGTCACCTTTATTTACATAGCGCTTTTTACAATACAGATTGTTTCAAAGCAGCTTTACATAGATAACAGGAAATAATGCAACAAAGTTTGTTACCAGTAGAAAATAGTGTCGCAGTCCAGCTTAAGTAAGTTCAGTGATGATTAATTTTGTTGTAAAAAAAATGAAAATAAAAATCAATAATATTGTTGAATGTTAAATGAAATGTCCCCAACTAAGCAA